GTAGTAACTGCCAAATACTTGGAAAAAACCAGCCAGTTTCATTTAAGAATATCTTTGATGAAGAAGTAAAAATTATTAATTTTATTAAATCAACCCTTGAGAACACATCTTTTTAAATTAATGTGTGACAGTATGGGAAGAACACATAAAGCACTTCTGCATACCAAAGTACGTGGCTGTCTTGACGAAAAGCACTGTGTGACTGAACTGTAAGCTGAACTCTTTGCCTTTTTCATGGAGCACCATTTTTACTTAAAATAATGATTGCCAGACAAACTATGGTTATTCATCATGACTAATAGGCAGATGTTTTCTCAATAATAAATAAAGTGACCCTGCCATTTCAAGAAAAATAGCCAACAGCATTTGCTGCCAAAGATAATACCTGAGCTTTAAAAAAATATATGTAATTTTGGAAAATCTGTATTATCACCAGAAGTGTGATAGTTCCTGATAATTAAAGACTTTCCTGATGAGACTGGCGGTGATACTAATATATTTTTTGTTATTATGTAATGAAATGTGTTAATATTTGAAAGACCTGAATAATTCCATGAGTTAGTATTTTCCAAAAGAACAATGCATCATGTTATAAAGTCATGCTATAAGTTTCCCAAAAATCCATTCGAAGCACAGGACAGAATAACACATTTTAACATAACAGAATACAAAGATTCATGGATATGCTTTGAGATTCCACATTACAACTAAGTTAAACTACCATTTATTAAATTCCGGTGTAGTATCCAAGAATATCCCCAATTATTTGAAAAGTTTTTAAAATACTCTTCCCTTTTCAAGTATATATCTGAGTGAGGATGGATTTTCTTCATATACTTTACCCGGAACAACTTATTGCAACAGTTTGAATGCTGATATAAATATCCAGCTGTCTTTTATTAAGCCAAACAGGAAAAGATTTGTAAGATTTTTAGAAAGATAAAACACCACTATTCTTCTCACTAAATTAAAAAAAAAATAGTTATTTTTCACAAAAACATTATGTATTTTTTTTTAAAAATTGATAAATAATTACTCATATGATACATACTGATAGATATTACTCCTGTGAACAAAACTCTCTGGGGCCCTCAGCAATTTTTAAGAGAGCAAAGAGAGTAAGAAGTTTGAGAACCACTGTTCTACACAAAAAGAGTTAACCAAATCTAACACTGCATAAACCACGTCGTGAAAAAGCTTTAAAGAGAATATAGATGCCAAGGTCCCAGTGATGTGAGGGGGAACCCAGGCGCTGTATTTAAAGAAAAGTGTCTCCAAGATGATTCTTACACATGGCCATGTTTAGAAACCACTGAAAACATCATTTGACTGTGACTGTATCCTTAGGAAAAGTTGTTTACTGGTGCCCCCTAGTGGCTAACTTGTTTTTGTTTTTAAAAATAAAATCAGAATGAAGACCTGAGACTGAGGAGATGCAAAATTTTAATTCTGTAAGGGACTCTAGAGATCATCTAGTCCAATCCCACTTTACAAATGGAGAATGAATATATCCAGACACAACAATACAGCGTGATAAATGCTATGCTATGCTATGCTTTGGGTAAGGGGGAGGTGTGAAAAAAGCATACAGGAGGAGGCATCTATTCCACACTTGGGAGATAAGTTTCCAGAGGTGATTGCTTCTAAGTTGAAACCTGGAGAATGGACAGGAGATGAAGGATGAGAGTATTCTAGTCAAAAGGAATGGAAAGCACCAAAGCTCAAAGGCAAAACAGACCATCATCTGATCAGTACTGAAGACAATAACAGTGACTGATTTTAAGAACTTGATGAGTACCAGGTGCTGTGCTGAGCTCATTACATTATCTTATTTAATGTTCACAACAACTCTGTGAGATGTTATCCCTCAACCAACCCTATAAGGTAATGGATAGGAGCCCTTTATAGTTTATAATTTTTTGTTTTTAAAGATTTTTTGATAAGCACCTAGCTTTACAAGGACTGTTAATCTTTAGAAAAGCTTACACAAAACGTACAAAATCTGCTTCTATGTTTTTAAAAGGATTTATTCTGAATTGCTTTAGAAAACACTTGGAAGAAACAGAATGGGTCAGATGCCTTATAATGTCCTTGGGATAAGTTGGGGAGAAATAAAACTTTTAAATTTAATAAAACTATAGGTTATGCTTTAATTATAAACATAGTAAAGTAAAAACTTTTCCCTTCCCTTTTCCATATTTCTGCTTTCAGAATATAACCTCATAAGGAGACACTACAATCACAAGAGACAGCAGGACTCTGAAATCAGACATATATATGGATACTAGCTTCACCACATATTAAGTGTGACCACTGATAAATTACTTATCTTTGAGTTTCTATATCTACAAAATGGGGACAATATCTTCCTCACTGGATTGTCATGAAGAATAAATTAGAACACATTATGTATGTGTATATATATATATACACACACACACAGATCATTCAGTAGATATAAGGTCCCTTTCTTGTTTCTGATGTCCTTATGTGTCTAACAGTCCAAAGGGGTTTGCCTTATGATATAGATTGGATCTGTTCTTCCCTCAAAGCCCATGCTGAAATATGATCCCCAATGTGGCAGTGTTGGTAGGTGTTTGGGTCATAGGGGTAGATCCCTCATGAAAAGATTAATGCCTTCCCTGGGGGTGGAGGGTAGTGAGTGTTAGTTCTATTAGTAAGCTCTATTAGTTCCCATGAGGAAGGTTATTTAAAGGACCCTGGGACCTCCTCCATCTCTCACTGCCTCTCACCATGTGATCCTGCACGAGCTGGCTGCCCTGCTGTTTACCGCTAAGAGTAGAAGCAGCCTGAGGCCCCCACCACATGCAGCTGTCTTAAGAATCATGAGCCAAATAAACCTCTTTTCTTTATAAATCACCCAGTTTCAGGTATTCTGTTAGAGCGCTAAGAGTAGAAGCAGCCTGAGGCCCCCACCACATGCAGCTGTCTTAAGAGTCATGAGCCAAATAAACCTCTTTTCTTTATAAATCACCCAGTTTCAGGTATTCTGTTAGAGCAACAAAAAAATGCACTAACACAGAAAATTGGTACCAGGAGTGAAGTGTTGCTATACAGATACCTAAAAAAGTTGAAGTGGCTTTGGAACTGGGTAACGGGCAAAGGTTGGAGGAGTTTGGAGGACTCAAAAGAAGACAAAAAGATGAGGGAAAGTTTGGAACTCCTCAGAGATTGTTTAAATGGTTGTGACCAGAATGCTGATAGAAAAGTGGACAGTAAAGATCATGCGGATGATGAGGTCTCAGAAAGAAATGAAGAACTTATTGGGAATTGGACAAAAAAAATCACCCTTGCTACACCATAGCAAGAAACTTGGCTGTACTGTGTTCATATCCTAGGACTTTGTGGAAGGGGGAACTTAATAGTTATGAATCTGAATATTTGGCAGAAGAAATTTCTAAGCAGTGAAGCATTCAGACTGCTGCATGGCTACTTATAATAGCCTAGTCTCAGTTATGGCGGTAAAGCTAGAATTTATAATTTAAAAAGGAAGCAGAACGTAAAGATTTAGAAAATTTGCAGCCTGGCCATGTGATAATGAGAGAGCATTTTCAGGAGAAAAATTCAAGGGTACAGCAGATGGACTGGTTGCTAAAGACATTGGCATGGCTATGAGGCAGCCAGGTGCTAATAGCCAAGACAATGAAAGAAATGCCCTGAAGGCAATTCAGAAGTCTTTGGGGGCCACCCCTCCCATCATAGACCCTGAGGCCTAGGACAACCATTCCAGGGGAGCGGCTGCCCTGCACTGCCTAGGAATGCACCTCCCTGTACCTTAGCTGCTCTGGCTGTAGCTTCCTTGCCTTAGGTGGCCCCATGTGTGTGGCTCGTGACACAACTCTGGAGAATGCAAGCCAGAAACCTTGGTGGCATCCATGGGGCATTAAGTCTGCAGGCTGGCAGAACGCAAGAGTGGTGGAGTGGCAGTCTCTGCCCAGATATTGGAGGATGTATGGAAAAACCTGGGGGCTCCTGCAGAGACCTGCTGAAGGGGTGGAGCCATTGCAGAGGGCATCTACTAGGGCAATGAAGGGAAGAAATGTGGGGCTGGAGTCCTCACAGAGAGCCCCCACCAAAGCAATGTCTAGTGCAGCCACTGTAGTGGAGCTGCCACCAAGACTCCAGAACTGTAGAGCCATTGGCAACTTTCAATGCCCACTTGGAAAAGCCAAGAGGGTGGGGATGCCCAATGCTTTGGGGGCCCAAGCCCCCCATTGTGCACAGGATTCAGGACTTGGAGTCAAAGGAGATTATTCTGGAGCTTTAAGATTTAATGTTTGCCCTGCTGGGTTTTGTACTTGTTTGGGGCATGTTCCTCCTTTCTTCTGGCCTATTCCTCTCTTTTGGAATGGAAATGTGTACCCAATGTCTGTTCCACCATTGTATCTTGGAAGGAGATAAATTTGTTTTTGATTTTTACATGTGCACAGTGCACAGCTGGAACTTTTGCCTTTGGTCTCAGATGAGACTTCGGGTTTTGGACGTTTAAGTTGGTGCTGGAACAAGAGAAGACTTTTAGGACTATTGGGATGAAATGATTGTATTTTGCACAGGAGAGGAACGTGAGTTTTGGGTGTGGAATGACATAGTTTGGATATGTTGTCCCCTCAAAGCTCATGTTGAAATCTGATCCCCAATGTGGTAGAGTTGGGAGGTGTTTGGGTCATGCGGCAGATCCCTAATGAACAAATCAATGCCCTCCCTGTGCAGGGTAGTGAGTGAGTTCCCGCTTTATTAGTTCCTGTGAGAGCTGGTTGTTTAAAGGACCCTGGCACCTCCCTTCCTTCTCTCTCTTGCTTTCTCTCGCCATTTTTCAATATTCTACTGACTGCCCTGCCACTTTCCACTATGAGTCAAAGCAGCCTGAGGCCCATACCAGATGTAGCTGTCCCAGAATCATGAGCCAAATAAGCCTTTTTTCTTTATGAATTACCCAGTATTCTGTTATAGCAACACAAAAACAGACTAATACACCTTACTTTCTTTGATGCTGCTTCTGCAAGGCTGCCTCTGATAATTGTCCCTGAAGGATCAGTTTTCTTTGCTTATCAATATCTCCTTCCATTCGGGCAAAAGCATGAGAGCCAATGAAAGAGAGATCAACTCCCAAGCCTTCATCCTCATCTTCTTGGTTGTCTGTAACAAAAACAGTACTATAAATAGAGAGCTTATGACAAAATAGACAGCAAGTGAAAAAGATTGTGCTGCAGTACGGATGACTGCGAGGAAACTCCAAAAACTGGAGTTAAGGTAAATTTTGGAGAATAAAATGGAAATCAGATTTAGGCACTTGTAGAATTGAAATAATGAAAGAAACTTGCCTGTTCGTGTGTGACAAAAGTTTTAGAAATATGTGAAATCAAATCAAGGTGACCTGGGTGTAAACTTAAGAAGAAAAGTGTAGGATGTGATCATAAGCAAAGACAGAAGTAGACCATACTTGAGTTTAAAGATGGCTTGTCGTACAGCACCTAACAAAAGAAGTATGAAAAACAAATAATTGGGAGCATTTATACAGTACTGTTTAAGGAGGCAGCAATTGACTCATTGGCACATTATTTCCAGACCTGCTGTCAGGCACCACCCTAAAGAAGACGGATGGACCAAGATCACAGGGTATAATCCAGATTCATTAAGAAATACTTCAATTATAATTTAGCATCCTGGTTTTCTATACTGGTCATATCAACATAATTGTTTTGGACCTTAAGAGTTATAGTTCTCACTACAAGTTAATAAGTAAAGTTTCTGATCTATCCATGTGATCACTGTGAGTTTGGCTAGTAGAAGCCAGTCTCTTAGGAACAGAAGCTCTCTTAGTGTGGTGCCCACTGCCTGACTAGAGTTGTTAAAAATGAAAACTAAAAAAACAAACCTTGGGCCTTGGGGAACTTCCAAAGGCAGTGTGTCACCACTTGAATCCCAGCCTGGGAACCATTGGCTGGGACTTCCCCACATTTACTTCACTGCTTTTCAAACTGTGACAGACCATAGTTTAGAAAGGTCTTTAATTAAAAAATACCTGTGAATGAATCTTCCTTCAACCCCTCAAGTAAAGCAGATTATATATGGTTTTTAGCAGATTTAATATTTTAATTGAAAATATTTATGAACACTAAGGCCTATATATTTAAGGTAACAATATTTTAAGATATAAACGCAAATCAAGCACTCATTGAGAACGGTGGATAGGAAGGAATCTTTTGGCTAATCTACTCATCTACTGTCCAGCATTGCCAACTTAAATTGGTTTTGCTGTTCACTATTCCTTATCACAGTAAATACATTTTATGGAGGAAAAGTTATTTGTTATAGTGGTGATGACAAGCATGAAGATTTCCAAACAACTCTGGTCATTATTTTAAGGTTCTACTATATTGGAGGATCCCACAAAGTACACTGGTACACCTCCAGCAAAGCTTGGTTCACAGACATTTCTGATGCTAGACCATTTATAAGTCCCTCCAGTTGACATAAGTCTATATGCTGGCGATAAAAAGGAGTTGAACAGCTTTCTACAGATTTCTCATTTTAAAAGAGTGTTCACAGTAGGAATCTCACAGTAATTCCCTGAGCTGCTGGATTTCAGGATCAAGGCCCAGCACTGAAGCTTGTGAGGCATTTATCCACAAAAGGGATTTATGGCCTTAAACATGTACATGTGAAGATCAGTACAAGCTGTCATACAGAACGGATTTAGAAGGGCTCCCAGCCTAACATGCTTTACATACTACTTCATCCTACATGAGTATAAAACCTAAGAAAACAAAATGGTTGTAGCATTTTTGCCTTAGTATTTAATGTTAGGTATGGCTTTTAGAAGACACTATTAAAACTGTTTAAAATTTTAGATGATAACATACTTAACTACAAAAATGGTTGTAGCATTTTTGCCTTAGTATTTAATGTTAGGCATGGCTTTTAGAAGACACTATTAAAACTGTTTAAAATTTTAGATGATAACATACTTAACTACTGTCTCAAATAGTGCCCTGCATTAGACTATAAGCTTTGTTAGGGTGAGAATGTTGTTATATCCACCTCTGAATACCCACTGCGTAACACAGACTTGACATAACATCTGTCTACCAATTTACCTACCTATCTATAGATAGATAAAATTTTTTTTAAATCAAAGAATAAATCTCAGCAAGAATAGGACTCTGAAAACTTCTAAACTGGTCTTGATCTTAGTGTCATGCTAACAGAGAATTTCCAAAAGGTCAGGCTGAACATCCTGCTTCTTTGGTGGTTGGTGTTTTATCAGAACCTCTGCTTCCTCAAGAGAGAAATTAGGAAAGGTAGAACTCTAGAACTCACCCTCTGGAGCACCAGGCTTTTCACTTATTCTAATCTGCCGTTCAGGTACCACAGGCTCCCCTTCTGCATTTCCAATATCTGCAGGTAGGTATGGCAATGTTTGACTCTCCTCCTTTAATGACCTTGGGAAATACAGAGGTAGCAGCTTTTGGTAAGTAGCCTGTGTCAGAAAAACAAGACATTCTGTGAAAATAATGAAGTAATGAAGCAGACCTTAGCAGTGCTTAGGCCTATTCATATACTTTGAAGACAGCCTCCATCAAGAATAAAGACCTTACCACTTTTGAGCTCAGACTAGATGCTAAGACCCTCAATCAGTTCCTGTGTTAAAAATCAGGATATTGTTAGCTAGTCAAGTTAAATGTGATGCCCATCCTCGCAATTCCAGTCACTGAATCTGGAATGCATAAGTCCTGCCACTTCTGCCCCCACCCCCACCTTCACTTACTAATGATACCTGTCTACCAAGACTCAGCTCAGATGTTACTTCCTTGACCCTTGGTGTGCTGTCAGGGTCCATTTGACCAATGTTTAGTTTTTGAGTTTTCTTTTTTTTACATTTCTAACTATTTGTGAAAGACTGATATTTCATAACTTTTATTCTTTAGAGATTTTTCAAAGAACAAAGATAAATTTTATTTTTTAAGGAAAGAAATAGAATAAAACCCATTTTATCTTATAATTTCCATATGGGTTGGTACACGGGGCTCATTTATAAATCCACGATACACGATCAGCGTTTAGTGCTCTTATTCTTCCTGTATCTTGAAGCATTTTGCTTTTTCATCATCCTAGGAATTACTTTATCATTACTCATCAATTATTCAAAACTATACTAAAAAAACTAAATTAAAATAAGAAAACAAAAGAATGATGGAATAGGCTTAGAAGGACAATAAAATTATTTACAAAATCTTTACTCCAGTATCCTTATTGTGTTGCCCACAGTAACTAATACATCATCTTTTAAGTAAACATATAAGACTGCAGACACCATCTTCAGAGTCTTTTTTTAAAAATTGAGATATAATTCATGTACCATAAAATTCAACCTTTAAAAGTATAGAATTCAGGCCGGCCCGTGGCTCACTCAGTAGAGTGCGGTGCTGATAACACCAAGGCCACGGGTTCGGATCCTATATAGGGATGGCCGGTTTGCTCACTAGCTGAGCGTGGTGCTGACAACACCAAGCCAAGGGTTGAGATCCCCTTACCGGTCATCTTTTTTAAAAAAAAGAAAAAGAAAACATCACATAACACTTCGAAAAAGTGATATAATTCTTTGGTAATTATAAAGCAATCTTTTTTTTTTTTTTTTTTTTGTCTTTTTTTTTCCGTGTCCGGCAACAGATCACAACCCTCAGTGTCGCCCCCATACCGGACCGGGACCGGCAACGGGATCGCAGCCCTCGGTGTTGCTCCCGTGCCTCGCTCAGCCAGTGAGCGGGAACCGGTCTGTATGTGGGACCACCACTGTCTAATTTCAGGACATTTTCATCACCGCAAAAATAAACCCCAAACCCATTAGCAATCATTCCCCAGTCCTCCCTCCTCCACTCCCCATTAGCGACTACTAATTTTCTTTCTGTCTATATGGCTTTGCCTATTCTGGACATTTCACAAAAATGGTATAATATGTGGCTTTCTGGGTCTGCTTTCTTTCATTTAGCATAATGTTTTTAAGGTTCGCCCATCTTATAGCATGTATCAGTACTTTTTATGACTGAATAATATGCTATTGTATGTATGTGCCACATTTTTTTTATCAGTTCATCTCATTTGGGTTGTTTCCATTACTATATGAATAATGCTGCTATGAAGACTTGTGTACAAGTTTTTGTGTGGACATGTGTTTTCAATTCTCTTCTGTATATACGTAAGAGCGGAACTGCTGCATTACATGGTAACTCTATATTTAACCTTTTCAGCGACTGCCAGACTAATTTCCAAAACAGCTGCACCATTTTTACATTCCCACTAGGTATGTATGAGAGTCCCAATTGTTCCACATCCTCATTTGTAACTATAGCCATACTAGTGAGTGTGAAGTTATATTTCATTGTGGTTTTGATTTGTATTTCCCTAATGGTTAATGTCATGGAGCATCTTTTTGGTGCTTACTGGTCATTTGTATATTTTCTTTGAAGAAATGTGTATTAACCATGTTGTTTTTCATTATCCCTTTACTCTACAATAAATTATTCATACATAATTTTTTTAAAAAGGATGGTACTTTTTAAAATTATTTTTATTTATACATATTTATGGGGTACAGAATTGACTATCAGTATTTGTGTACAGTATGTGCTGATTAAATCAATATTATTAGCATGTTTATAATTACAAATCATAATTACTTTTTGTGTCCCTTAACCAATTACTCTCTATCTTCCTTCCCTCTCCCCCTTTCCAACTTCTAGTAACTACAGGTCTGTTCTTTCCTTCTGAAAGTTTGACATTCTATTATGGTCTTTGTTTCTTAGCTCCCATTTATTAGGAGTACGTGTTATTTCTCTTTTCTGTGCCTGGCTTATTTCACTTAACATAATTTTCTCGAAGCTCATCCATGTTGCTACAAATGGCAGAATTTCATTCTTTTTTTTCCTAGAAACTTATATATGCTAGATACTTAATAAAAGGTCACTGGAAGAATGAATGTATAGATAAACCAGGTGAAACAAGATAGCGAACAAAGTAAATGTACCCTTCTTTCAGCAAATTCAAAAGCGCTTACATATCATACTTTGAATTGATACTTCACATGTATTAACTCATTTGATTATCAAAAAAGCCTGTAATATAGGTACAATTAACATTCCTATTTTACCAAAGCACAGAGAGGTTAAGTAACTTGCTCAAGGATACAAAACTGGGAAATATTAGAAGCTGACTTGTGCGGAGAACTCTAAAGCTAAATAAAGCTTGATAAAATAAAAATAAAGAATTTTCTAAAATGGCTCTAAATAAAATTGAAATATACTAAACCTAAATACATACACCAAAACATACAAACCTCCCAACTTACTCAGTGTCAGCCACTAGGCTAGGCTGTCACCTGTTTCCAGGCCAAGTAGATACCAAAGCTTTTCCAGCACAGTAGGTTTTCCAGTTATGCTGCCCAGACACCCAGTGCTTAGGTTATAAGGTAATGCCTTGAGAGCTAATGCAGGGAGCAAAGCAGAACAACTCCATTTTGTAAGATTTCACTTACAGAGACAACAGTTTAGCAGGAAAAATGTGAACAAAAGTCTCCTTCTCGATTTGTTTTTAGTTTTCAGTGAATGATGGTAAGTCCCACTGCCAAATATATACATAGATAACTAGGATTCATCGGCTGAAAATTCAATAAATAGATAAGACAAAGCTATACACTTAAAAGTAAAAGTAAGATTTAAACAATGCAGCTTAATTAGCAAAATACCTCTTCAAGTTCAGAGACAGCAAATACTACTTTTTCAATGGTTTCCCCGTGAATCTCTAGGAATCTCCTTACAGTGCCTAAGGAAAAGAATAGAAAAATTATTTACTAAATAAGGAATTACTTACGCATAAAGAAAAACCAAACTCTTAGAAGTTTAATTTTTGTAAGATCACTCCTCGTTTAATTCAGGTCTCTGCTTAATGACATTCTATCAATGAAGCCTGCCCAGACTACTCTGTACAAAAACTCTTCTCTGATTCTCTTTCTTCCACAACAACTGCTATAGACATTTTATGGAATTCCTTGTTTATTATATATTCTCTCCCCCACCCCCTCCTCATCCACTGGAACAAAAGCTCCATAACAGCAGGAGCTTTATCTTATTTACTGCTCTTTTTCCAGTGTCTAGAACAGTGCCTTGCCATAGAAGATGCTGACTCTGGACAATTATCCCTTATCCAGCATATTCTTATTCCCTGGGGCACTCTCTTTGACCAGAATGATACAGCACTAGTGTCTTTCCATTCATTTTGCTATAGCATTAGATGTCCCACTCAGCCCTTCATCCCCTGATAAAACATCACAAAACCAAAGCTGAATTTTTTCCTCCTAATTTCCATGTTATCTGGATTCTTCTCTATCAACTTTCTAATATTAAGACATAATGACTTTTTCTTAGTTCTTAACTTACTGGAGATCTCCCTAGCTTTAGCCCTTAACTCCCATGCCCTCACATTTTAAGAATGTGGTCGTCCAGGGTTTTGTCCTCAACATTTTTTATTTTCTTGCACACATATTCTCCTTAGCTCACTAATTTCCTAGTTAGGTATTACCTCAAATATTGATAGATTTCAAATCTTTACATTCTGTTTTCTGAATTTCCTACCACCTATTGGGCATACTGGCCAGATAACCCACAGAAAACTCAAATTCAGTGTGTCCAAACCCAAACCCAACAGGTTCTTAACTCCCATGCCCTCACATTTTAAGAATGTGGGCTGGGGTTTTGTCCTCAACATTTTTTATTTTCTTGCACACATATTCTCCTTAGCTCACTAATTTCCTAGTTAGGTATTACCTCAAATATTAATAGATTTCAAATCTTTACATTCTGTTTTCTGAATTTCCTACCACCTATTGGGCGTACTGGCCAGATAACCCACAGAAAACTCAAATTCAGTGTGTCCAAACCCAAACCCAACAGGTCCAAAACCGACCCCAACAGGTCCAAACCCGACCCCAACAGGTCCAAACCCTAGCTTCCATGTTCTCTGCCCCAAACCAACTCCTTTACCTGTATTCCTTACCTCAGTTACATATCAAAATCTAATCCCTCACCCAAAGTAGAATCCTGAATTTTTTTTCCTTCACCTCTTCCTTTGTCCTGCACTTTCAAATGGTTCCCATTATCTTTTAATTCTACTGCTATTTCTTCGTCTAGCTGCTTTTAGGTTTTCAAAGCTCACACAGAATTTGGCAATAAGCTCCTAACTGTTCTCCTTGTTTCTTTCTTTCTAAGTCTCATATTCACTGTTGCCTGAATTATCTTATGTTACCCTCCTTACCAAACACTTGTGATGGCTCTGCACTGCTTAAAGATTAAGATTCAAAGTCCCTAGCATGACTCTCCAAACTCCAACCCCAATTAACCACCTTCCCTCATTACGCTCCTTAGTCCTATTTCCAATTATTCCTCCTGCATATCTTCTGCTTTAGTCAAATCTGCTTCTTTACTGTACTCAAAACATGCCACTTACTTTCATGCTGCCCTACGTATGCTTACATGGTTACTTGTCACTAGAACACTATTCACCCACCATTCCCTTCCCATCATGAACTCCTACTCCTCAGTTTTCCAGACCTAGTCAAAAGCCATATTCTTTGTGCAGAACTCCACCCTTGCTTGTGCTCTTCCTATAACCTTTTGAATGTCCTTCTACTTGTGAACCTTCTGACAGCATTTTATAGCCAGACTGTGAGCTTTTTGAAGGTCAAGTATATTTTACGCTGATACTACTTTAATTAAGGCCTAGCACATTTTAGGGATATGACATGCAATCATTCAAAAGTAACTAATAACTGAGTTAACAACTTATGGCTCTGGTTATATACATATCGTCTACCTTCTTCAACCATGTATCTCAAGAACCTAATAGAGCAGACCTATTTGTTGAAGAACTGAACAAACATTTATAACTCTCCCTTGGTTAGGTAACAAATTTATTTTTTATTTCTCCCTTTATTCTAATACATTTTGCAAATGAATTTTCAAAATGGATTCTTTTATCCTCTTTATTTTGATACCACATTTTAATGTTCACACATAATGATTTCCCAGTATATAACTGTTGTATTTCCTTTGGAAGACAAAATACAATGGCTAATAGTGACCAAATTGAATTACCTTAGCAGAGTTTATTTAGAAAAGTAATTCTGCATAAAGGAAGGAAAAAAGAATAACATCATGTATCTATGGTTTCGGTACTAACTGTTCCTTTCAAAGTTTTATCTGTGCGCTATTCGCTGAAACCAGCCAGGATGTCCTGTGCTTAACATGTAATACCCCCTTAACTGGTATGACTGATATGTGGAACATTAAAATTCCCAATCTGGAAACACAAGAAGAAACACCTTCACCTTTTTTCTCACCACTGTATCTTCCTGTACACAGCACAGAGCCTACCTAGCACATAGAAGTCACTCAAATTTTTGCTGAATGAATAAATAATCTGATAAATTTATTTCAATGTGGATATTTCTTCAGGCTTTTTCTAGAGATGAACTGAACTGAATGTAAACTAAGAAAAAAAAAGGTAAAAAGTCTTGATACATCTATCAAAGGGATATTACTTAGGTTTCAAATAAAATAAATTTTGTAAATAGTTTAATGAGAAAGTTTTTGATACTAAGTACTTAGAGTTACATCATTAGATTTGTTCTTGGCCCATATATGCTTTAAAAATGTACAGGCCACTTGTCTACCAAACGCTTGAGAAAGTATTCAAGAAAAGGGCATCATTGTGTGTGTGTGTGTGTTATATTTTTTTAATAAGATTTTATAAATTTGCTACTAGATTTAAGGCGTAATAAGTCAAATGGGCCTTATTAAACATAAGTTAACTTGCCCACTTTAAGAGCTATACATTTCCCTTTTGTTAATTAAATTACTAGAAATTGCTTCCTCAAGATCCCTTATACCCACTATTAATCTTTATCTGCTGTTACCAACTACTCTCAAAGTTGACCTCTCTTATTGTACTGTATCAAGTGATCTGGAGCCACAGAGCTAGAGTTGGGCTGGTAGAACTGGGACTGAAAACCAGTCTTCTTGACTCCCTATTTAGAGCCTTTTCTACAAGTGATGCAGCTTCTTTAAATTCTAATCCTTATGATTAATAAGAAATGGTGAAAAAAGAAAACATTAAAAAACAAAAAAAGGTTAAAAAAAAAGAAATGGCGATATAAAAGAAGCCTTGAGATGACAGGGCAAGGGCTAAGTGGAAACAGGGAATGTCGAGACCTGTCAGAAGCCTCATCAGGAGGAATGATATCAAGGCAGGAACTTCGTTTCTTAAGGCGCCGTTTAGAAGACATGCAGGTCATAACACACAGTCACCCACTGAAGCAGTTCTAGCTCAAGCACAAAGAATTATCTAGTATAACAGGTTACTAGACTTGGGGGTCAGAATGCCTGAATATGTGTCCTAAGTTTGCATAACCCTTAGAATATGATAAATTTCTGAGTCTCTTTATTTGTACAATAAACACCATACTACCTAAAACACAGGGTTGTTGAGGAAATTAAATGAAATCTATTTGTCCCTTTTTAAAATACATATTTCTTGAGCAAGTACCACATGTCAAGCATTCCTGACATATGGAAGCACAAGGATGAAAAGTTAAAATCCCTGCCTCTCAAGAAGATCAGTCTAAGATAATGTATATAAACTGTAACTATAAAATATATAAATTTACTATAAAATCCTTGAGCAGTAAAGATATTAGTTTTTAAAATAGCTTATAATCAAATAAGACTATTTAAGACTGAACTGGCCCTCACCCGATTCTAGACTATTTAGTAATAATTTTATACATTCAAGTATCTTTGTAATTTTTGGTGGATAGAAGACTTCCAGCTCCTCATCTTTAACTTCTAGAGATAGAAATGGGTCTTTAAGGCCCCTTAAAGATTATATAGTATAGTTTCCCTCTGAAATGAGGAATGTTTTCTGCAACAGATGGTTACCTTGCCTCTGCATGAATGTTCCTAGTGACACAAAGTTCACTGAAATACTCATTTGTTACAGATTTTAAATGGGATCAAAATCTCCTTCCTTGCAACTTGATCTTAGACCTTGCCTTCTACAGTTGGAGTTCTTATCTACGATCCTTACAAGGATCTGTAAACTTCCTGAAATAACACGCAAATTCCGTATCTATGTACAGTCTTCTAGAGAAAGGGTCCACAGCATTCTCAGCAGATGCTCAATGAAGTTTATAATGACAATCCCCCCGCCCACCACCCAACCCCTGTTGCCCGAACCACTGCTTAAAACATGCTACACAGAATAAATCCACAATGAGACTCTGTCAGATATTTGAGGACAAGTATCATATTTGCTAAAAGTATGCTCTTCTTGAGGAAAAACACAACTAATGTTTCCAACTGTTTATCCTTCAGTGTCTCAGGAGATATGACACCTAGAACTGTAGAGAAAACTCAAGATGTTGTCTGAACCTGCATATAATAAAGGGAGATCATGAACTTTCTTGAGCTGAACACCATATTTAATATCACATATATGACATTTTGACTCAGAGATGGAGCCCAGTCATTTTTAAACCTAAATGCAGGGTTTTAAAATTGAAATAGCATATGTGAAAACTGCTGTTTAACTGCAAAGTTCTATGCATATATGATATTATGAAATCTGTTTTGACTATGTTTTTGCAGTCTACTAAGATTATTCTGAATTCTGATTCAACTACCCAATGCATTGGCCATACTCCCTAGATCAGTATCACTTTCGAATTTAATAGGCAAATCTTCTAAGCTTTTATTCAAATAGGTAAAAATGTTAGTCCAAATTAAAAGCTCTGCAAGTTGTCAATAGAAACTTCTCTCCAGGGTGCCATGATCAGTTAATCAACAAATCTTCTTTTGCTGTAACTATTTAAGTAGTGATAAAAATTTTAAAACACAATTTATGTAAAGCATCTCCAATTTTACTTACGAAGTGCTATATGTGTTGCATCCTCTAAAGGATAACCTCGTTTTGCGGAATTGATGACACAAAATCCAACAGAAGACATTGACTGCTCTCTGCAATCAAACAGAAAACATAAAAATTGCACTATAAGCATTCATAATATATACATAGTAATACATAACTAATTTCAAAATGCAGCTCAATTCTCCCTCCCTAGCTCTTAAACATATTTACTATAATAGTTAACCCAAATGCACTATTTAATAATTATATTAACATACAATTTCATTGTACTCTTTAGGGGATATATATTTCAAGCAAAGACTAAATAAAATGGAAATAGGTTAAATTCTCAAGTCACCCAAATCCATCCCATTTATCCTGCTAAGTCTGAAAAGTTAATTCTATCTTCAGGGTCATCCTAAATTATCTAAGTCCCTCGAAACTTGACTTCCATATCTAGATTTCATCTTTAAAACCAGGGCCTTTAACAATGTATGACATGCTATATCCAGAAAACAAGCAGACTGTACTTTGCCAGCTGAAGTACATTTCTATAGCAGCTGTACAGGGAGCTCTCAGCTGCTGTGCGATAGCGGCTCTTGTATTTAGGTCCCACTGTGTGAATGATGAACCGTGCAGCTAGATTAAATCCTTTTGTCAATTTTGCTTCACCTGTTCGGCAACCTGGCAACATTGGAAACATACATAAGTCTGGAGATACTAGAAAAAAACCCAACAAATCAAAGCATAAAACAGAAGTATTGAGAACCTTGAGAAATTTCAGTTAAAAATATGGAATGAGGGTTAGCTCTATTGGTTAGAGCAGCAGTGCCAATAACATCAAGGTCAAGGATTTGGATCCCTGTACCAGCCAGCTGCCAAAAAAAAAAAAAAGGATTGAACATAAGCATTTACCTCTGTTCCTTCTGTTCTCAAAATAACAGTGAAGAAATACAATAGGTATAAGCACAGAGACAAAGAGAATGGGAGAAAACATGAAGCAGATAAGCATCATCAAAATTTTGGAAGGCAGAATGTCAGCGAACTAGTAATAACTGACTTAGCAGAGCAGGGAAACCTAACTGCTTGCAGAAATGGGGTAACCAATGTGAAACAAGCTGATCTGTACTAAAAAGCAGTATTAAATTCAAGACTGCTTTGATTCAAATCCTGAGTCCACCACGTTCCTATGTGACACTCTGAGCAGGTGCTTCCCATCATCATGCCTCAGTTTCCTATTTAAGGGGGATACTAGTAGTACTTACATCACAGGATTAAATGAGTTAATAAAAGTTCATGGAAATATTCATATTCTATTTTTCCACAAACTTTTTGAAGTACGCTCATATATGCAAAGTATATACTTTACCTACTACTATTATTTCTACTACTGGAGAACACCTAGAAAGGATCAGAAATTGGAGGCCCTCAGTACTTCTAAAGGCTATACTGTGAACTTTTTACTGGGACTAAAAAGAGGAAGCAGGGTTAAAAGTTTGTATAAAAACAGTCAAATATGCAACAATTCCTCCCCCAGCCAGCACAGTAAGATGATTTCTTTACCACCATAGCAACAGAAAGTTTATTCTCTGAAGACGCTGAACTAGAGAGCTTCTGGACTCCAGAACCCCAGGCACAGTTGAAAGAGGGGATTTAGTTAAAGCGCTATACTTAAAAGTGAAAGGTCTAGCCCTTTCCCCCTAACTGATTTCCAAAACGGACACCCAGGCTTAACCCCCTGGGAAATTAAGAGGCCCTAACTAAAGGACCTATAGATTCTGATAACTGAAGGAAATTCCCCAGTAAAACAAAAGAGCTACTGCTCTATCACTTGCTTCAAGACCCATGAAGCAATGACCTTTGCCCACTGTTATGGACTGAATGCTTGTGTTCCCTCAAAATTTATATGTTGAAATCCTATCTCCTAATGTTATGGTATTAGGAGGGAGGGTCTTTGGGAAGCAGTTAAGTTTAGATAAGGCCATGAAGGTGGAGCTCTCATGAATAAGATTAGTATCCTTATAAGAGTCTTCAGAGAGCTTGCTTCCTCCCTCTGCCATGTGAAGATGCAACCCAGAAGAGGGCCCTCACCAGAACCTGACCAAGGCTGGCACACTAATCTAGGACTTTCAACTCATGGAACTGTGAGAAATACATTTCTATTGTTTGAAAGCCACCTAGTTTATGGCACACTTTGTTACAAAAGCCTGAATGAACTAGACACCCATGCACACAAAGCTTCCCATTAACTCTTCAGTTCCTCTCTCTAAAATACAGCTAACATTTAAGGATCACGAAGAAGTGGGGAAAGCCTCTAACAAAAACAAAACGGGGACAAAACAAACAAATGCTCAAGAAAGAAACTTAAAAACCACCACCATAATTTCTATTCTCAGAGAGGTAAGAGAAGATATAGGACCTATGAAACAAAACCAGAATGCTATTTTAAAAAAAAGAATATTCAGAGAAGAGGAAATAGCATTTATATAACTGTTATAGCCAAGTGAAAAATATGACAGCAGAAATGAAAAGTTCAATAGAAAGGTTAAACATAAAGTTGATGAAATCTTCCAGAAAATAAAACAAAAAGATTGAATATAAGAGATAACAGATAAGAAAACCGGAGGATTAAACAGGAAGTACAATATCTGATCGGATTTCTTCAGAGAAAAGAGAGAATATAGAAAGAAGGGAATTATTAAAGAAATAAAACAAGAAATTTCACAGACCTGAAATACATGAGTTATCTAGACTCAAAGAGCCCTCAGAATACCCAGACCACATGAAGGCACACCACTGAAATTTCAGAACACCGGAAATAAAGATGAGGTCATAAAATTTCTAGGAAGAAACTGGTTACATACAAACAATCAGGAATAAGAATAGCATCAGATTTCTCAACAGGAGTAATCAAAATAAAAGACAATGTGGCAATGTCTTTAAAATTTTGGAAAATAATTTCTAAACTAGAATTCTATTTCCAACCAAAATACCAATTAAGTATGAAGGCAGAAGTAAGATCTCAGTAATTTTGCCCCATTTCACCCTTCTCAGAAATTCCCTGATAGATTTACTCACAAAAATGAAAGACTACATCAGAGAAGAAAAAGGCATGAAATCTAGGAAATGGGGGATCCAATCCACTAATCAGAAGGAAGGATTTCCCAGGATGATGTTAATGAAAGGTCCAGGACAATAACTGTGCAGCAGGTATAGAATACAGAGGAGTGTAGAGAGAAAAGAGAGGAAGAAGGTTTCAGGAGGTGCCCAGTCAAGAAAAAAATGGAACTGAAAGAGAAACTAAAGTGTTTGAGAAGAGGTTTATAGCTATATTTAAAAGTTTGGGGTCGAATCAGTGATGGGTACATAGAAAGTAATTATGTAAAAATTACATAAGAAATCAAATCAATTTGTACAAAAAGAATACTAATTCATTTTCTAATTGGTTGTGAGCAATATTTATATAGTCACAATGTTAATGCTGAATATTGATTTAATCAAAATTGTGACAGAATAATTTGGGAAGATGGCAAAAGAGGAGGAAAATGTGTGAGTATTTTATGTATATGTAAAGGGTGGAGTGGATCAAAGAGAGTTTAATCTTTCACTCCCACAGCAAGAAGTCAACAGATAAAGGGGGGGAAAAAAAACCCCAAAACAAAAAACCAAGACAGTAATTTTGCCATATTATTTGGAAATAAAAGGTAAATAACTAAGACACTTAACATCTTGAGAGTACTATATTTCCTCCCAGAGAACAGGAATTAAGGTAGGGAAGGGAAAGGCAGATTGTCTCTGCTTTCCTTTATAAATTGCAACATAAAATTGACTTTTAAAACTATACACAATGATCAATGAAAAGCAGTAAGCACAAAACACAGAAAGCCAGAAAAAATTAATCTGTTACCATTTAAGGCATTTATTAAACCAATTCTTTATTATGAAAATTGGTAGTTAAAAGAATTAAGCATTTATCCTGCCTATCCAACAGAAACTGTAATTCAGACTAACCAAATAACACCAGTTAATGAGGAAAAACTATTTTATAGAAGAATGCCAGCTAGCAGATATGGATGAAATGATGGATCTTAGAATATACAACTTCGTAATCTTAATGAAAGTTCTGATTCAGACAAGGATTATCAATTTGGTACTAAAACGATTAAATGAATATGTGATGGGGAACTGGACATTCAGAGTAGATATGGATGAAATGATGGATCTTAGAATATACAACTTCGTAATCTTAATGAAAGTTCTGATTCAGACAATGATTATCAATTTGGTACTAAAACGATTAAATGAATATGTGATGGGGAACTGGACATTCAGAGAGCCTAAATAACACCACATAGATTAGTTTTCAGTCACAAAGGGTTAAACATAACTGTACAAGTGGAAGGATCAAACTGTCATCACCCAATCCATACAGCAATCTTAGTAACCAGTAACGGTCTACTAATGGGTCAATCAGATTTTATGTATCTTCTAATATGATATAACACTAAATACATAACACAATATCACCTATAAAATGATTAAGCCAAAACTTAATTACATGAAATATAATTTTAGTTTACAGGAAATACAAACTAAATGGCACCTCAAGTAAATCAGACAAATTAGGAAGCTGGGACATCTTGGAAAACAATTGGCCTACTTGACTCAAAAAGTCAGTGTCATAAAAAGGGGACCATGCTGGATTAAAAACACACACACACACAAATTACGGGACATAATAACATGCAATGTGTGGTCTTGGATAGGATACTGATTTGGATAAAACAGCTGCAAAGGACATCCTGGGTCAACCGGAAATTTTAAATATGGTTTGGGTGTTAGATATAATTTCTTAAATTAAAGGGTGAATTCATTTGCTGAAGGCCAATTACAGAACAGTATATACATGATTATCCTGTTTTGGGAACAGTATAATCATTTTATTTTGATAACAAAAGATATGGGAATGTGTGTCTGTATCCACACCCACCTACAGAAAGATCCAGAAGGATATGCATTGAAGTCTAACAGTGGTTATCTTTGTGTGGTGGAAATATTAAGTTTTTATTTATTTTTAGCTTGTGTGCATATAATTTTCTACAATTTACATTTACTGCATCTATAACTAGAAAATGATTATGTATTCATCTTTTTTTTAATTGAAAGACAATTGATTATATATATTTGTGGGCTACAGAACTGAATATCAATACATATGTGCAATATGTTGTAACCAAATCAGGATAATTAGTATACTCATGTACACCAAACATAATCAATCTTTGTGACCCTTAACTAATTTCTCACTAACTTTCCTCCCCCTCCCCCTTTCCCACCTCTAATAAATAGTTATGTTCTCTTTTTTTTTTTTGAAAGTTTAATGACTTATTGTGATTCTTTTTTTTCTCTTTTAGCTCCCACTTATGAGTGAGGACATGCAGTATTTCTCTTTCTGTGCCTGGCTTATTTCATTTAACATAATTTTCTCTAAGTTCATCCATGTTGCTGTGAATGGCAGAATTTCATTCTTTTTTATAGCAAACTAGTATTCCATTCAGTATATATACCACATTTTCTTTATCCGGTTGTCTGTCAATGGACATTCAGGTTGATTCCAATTCTTGGCTATTGTAAATAGAGCTGCAGTAAACAGGGGAATGAAGGTATCCCTTTGACATGATGATTTCCATTCCTTTGGGTATATACCCAGTGGTGGAAGA